AAAATAAAAAAGAAATAAAGAAATAAAGAAAAAAGAAAAAAAATAAAAGACATTGTATGATATCTTCTAGTATTAGAAACTTTAAAAAGTTAAAAATAAATAAATAAATATTTTTTTAAAAATTCAGCCTTTGGAGAAATTCCAGATGAATAAGATTCTGAATTAAAAGACGTATCATTTACAATTTCCATGTGTTCCCACCTGAATTCCACCTCCACAAGGCTTAGTTCTTTTAAATCAGCACTAAGTTCAAATGCTCTCAGAATTGGATCCTCCTCTGTTAACATTATTAGAGCTGGACTGGCCAAACATCGATATATATCAAGACGAAACCTGTGATAAAATTTGATTTCATATTGTAAAAAAAGAAACCTTACTATACACATATAATCAAGCATTTTAACTTATAATTATAAAAAGTATTACAAATTTTGAAAGTATGTAAATAACTATAAATATGCTTATTAAAAGATAAAGTTCACAAATATTGAAAAATTAAATATCTGGGGTACAAATATTGAAAAACTTGGTATCTACTGCTTTCAAGAAAACTCTCTTACCATCTCTGCAGATTCAAAAGTTTGTATTGTTCAATTTAATTAAACCTCTATTCAAGCAACATAATTTTAAATAAGATATGCTAATAATGGATAAATATTTGATATGATACGGATGGGATGATTTTTCCTTTTCCAGCAATACAATTTCTTTAATATGCCATATAGATTTCAGTCACATAATTCATTAAGCTAGGTTATTCTCAAAGATGTTTCAGATCTTAAGAGTGAAATTATCCTTTTATGCATAATTTCTAACTAAAAGAAAACACTCCCCTTACACTCAGTAAATTGACACATTTTCATATTTTAACCCCTAAGTAGGAAACAAACCAAAAAATATTCACTATAATCCATTTATAAATATATAAACATAATTCTTACTAACTTTGGAATATGTTATATACACATATTGTTTTGTATCAATTTAATACTTTTTTTTTTAAAGTAAGCAATTTGGAAACAAGACACGCCACAATCCTACTCTCCTCACTGACTCTACTCTTCAAAGACATTTTGCAGCTGGGTGTGGTGGTGCACACCTGTAATTCCAGTACTTGGGAGGCCGAAGCCAGAGGAAGGTTGAGTTTGACCAGCCTAGGCTACAAAGTGAGCTCAAGGCCAGCCTGAACTGCACATCGAGACCCTGTCTCAAAAAGACCATCACAAATAACAACAAAGAAAGATACTTTGCAAAGAATTGTGCATAACCTTCCTGATACCTTCTATTAATACACAAACATGATGAGACATAATACAAAAAAGGAAAAACTTACTTTTTTATGCAGCAACGATTGTTGAATTCCTATTACTTTGTTTAGTAAAATCTTGTATCATTTCTAAGGCTGTTTTTTCCCCTATCGCTATTTTGCATTCTTTCAAAATAAAATATCATGAACTTTATATATATTCACATTATTTCCTGTATCTGGATGATAGTTTTAGAGGTCCACTGAAGAGACTACTTTTTATGGGTATAAAAATATAGTAATTTCTTCTTTCAGTACTCGGGACCTTGTGCTTGACAGGAAGGCACTTAGGCCACTGAGTTATCTCCCTGGTCTTAATATTCTTTTTATTCATTAAATTATACTTCAAATTGCTGGGCAAAATGTCATGTGCATTTTAAATTCTGATTGTTGCTTTGAAAGTAATAAAAGGGGTGGCTCATTTGTCCCACATCTTCACTAATGCTAGATATTAACAACTTTTAAAATTTTTGCCAACTTAATGGAAAATCATTTTTAAAACTTATTTTGATTGCTTTATATATAAAAAAATTAGCTTTCTGTCTAATCAAAAGTGATTCAAGACCTTCCCCACCCCGCCCACCGAGTAGGAATTTCTGCCGAGGTCCGGGAACCACCAGACCCAGTCCTAGCCCAGGTCCGGTGAGTGTGTGAAGAGCTTCCTGCTACCCTGCGCCTGCAGGACCAGTCCCAGCCCAGGTGCAGCGTGGGCCGGACCCTCTCCC